CCGAGTGATATTAATACTGAAAGGGAGCAACTCTTACACTTTTTTGCGGTACACTTTATTTTAAAAAAATAATATAGAGATATATAGTTCTTTTACTAATACCAAATAAAAATTATTAGCAATATGAGTGAAAACTAGGGAGTTATAGCTTTAGGTTATAGTTTACCAAAGTTAGATGATAGATTTTGCATACAGTGTGATTAGTTTAATTAGTTCAGATAGTGTACAATTTTATGATTTGAGAATGGCTTTGGCTTAAAGCGACATTTGTTTTGATTTTGTTATTGATTAAATTTTGTTGTTGTTACCCCTAGTTTTTAACTGCATGGCAGTCTTTAATAAAATAAAATAAAATAAATTTCTTTGAAAAAAATTATACTACCTCCAGTTCTAATTATAAGATCTTGTTTGTAGACTACAAATAAAATCTTATAATTATTATCAAAATTAGTGTATTGGTTATAGTAAAAACCGAGTATGAAAAGGGTTTGTTCTATTATAAATACTTTTTAAAATAAAAAAATCTAAAAATAAAAATTAAGAAAGATAAAATTGTTTGTCAAAATTTATAATAAAATATATTTATAATTTTTCATATAAGATTTTGTGCCATGTCATGCATTCTTCATACCGGCAATATAATTTAATTATTATTAAAAAAACACTTCCCTTTAGTGTTACAAGATAGATATGTGAATTATGACCCAAAAAAAAGGTACTACCTTCGGTCCTAATTATAAGAGTCAGTTGACTAATTTGAGGAGATTAAGGAAGTAAGTTGAGTTAGTTATTTGTCATAAATAGGTGTTGTCTTTCCTAAAATATCCTTATTAATCAAGTATATTAACTAGAACTCTTATTATTAGAAGGGCTACTTTGGAAAAAAAATTATATAAATATGAGAGACAAAGTGGATTGGGGTCTTATATTTAGGATCAAAATAGAAATCAAACAGGATCTTATATTAAGAACCGGAGGTATTACAAGCCAAAGAATAAAAAGAGAATCCTTAAAAAATATTTTTGAATTTTAAAATTTTAAATCAGTCTTATTACTATACTTCAATAATACTACATCCGGTTCTTAATATAAGACATCATTTAACTTTTATTTTGGTTCTAAATATAAGACTCCAATCCACTTTGTCTCTCACATTTATTTATTTTTTCCAAAGTATGCCTTGTGATAATAATAGTTATAGCCAATACACTTGATTAATAAGGATATTTTAGAAAAAACAACATCTATTTATTGCAAATAACTAACTTCACTAATTTTCTTAATCTATCAAATTAATCAATTAGCTCTTATATTAGGAACCGGAGGTAGTAATTGATAACATTTGAAAAGTAAATAACAATATATTTTTACAGTCATTCCTAATTTGGGATTTTAAAATTTTAACGGCATTTTTTTGGTATTCTCCCAAACAATAAATGATCCACTTTTTTTTTTTTTTTTGCCTACAAATGAACCATGGTAAATATGTGAGTATGTCCAGTAATTTTTATTTACTTCACTATATTTATAAAATTATCTCCCTGCATTGAATGTTATTCCTTAATAATTAATTTCTCCTCAAATTAAATATATATAATATTAACAAGCAATTAAGTTTTCCAATATATTTTCCTTCTTTTATTTTTCCCTTTTCCCCTAAAGTTTAAGCATTAATGTTTAATTTGTCTGACCTCTGGTGAAATAATGATTCCTCAAACAAACCCAGAAGCCTAATATGCCATTACTTATTTCTGGTATTAAGTTTCTGAAAGACATAAATTAGCATTGTAAATCCAGATTAGTGTATATACGAACCCATGTCCTTTTTCACGATCTACCATTAACATGTAGAAAATCATTATTATTTAGAATCAATTTCCATAAATTTGTATTAACATATCATTATTATAAGGTTTTTTTTAACCTTGCTCATTATTATAAGGTTAATTGCACATAAATTCTATGGATTTCGGATCATACGTTGATAATCCTCCTATATTTTTAAAACTTGACAATAATCTGTGAAAACTTTTTTACATTTGTACTGTCGTATGGTGAGCAATTTAATTATTTTAGTCCCCACGTGTGACGCATTAATGACAATTAGATCTCTTTAATTTTCATTTTTCATCAATGAGGTTATGCGAAAATAATTTTTCTAAATTTCAAACCATTTCACTCATGTTGGCAATCACAGATGTCGCATATATATCATACATAATTAATACAAGAAAGAATCCCAATTAAATCTTATTGAAATATCAAAATTCAAATTAAGACCTGCACTTTCAGCAAACATCTAATTAGGCCAAGAAGTTTTATTAGGGATTTTTTAATGTTGTTAAAAGACTAAAATGTCCCTTTAGGTTAGCAAATCGGTAATTGTTCCAATTAATTTATGACGTAACTTCTTTTTTTTGAGATATGCCAGATGATCCATTAGCTTCACGCACCATATGTTGTTAAAAGACTAAAACTATCTTTTTTTTTTTATAAATTTATATTAAGTAGTTCATATTACTCTATCAGTCTTATCAAACATTGGAAAAATCATTTAGATTTCTAATACAAGTTCATTTTAGTAATGAAACTATAAGATATAACATAATAAAAATGTCTATATGGCAGATATAGCAAAACATTTAAAAAAGAAATGACAAATTTGATGCTGAAATCCACTAGTACATTAAGATTATGAGTTTTTAAGTGTAAGAAAAAAAATTTCCTTCAAAAAATTATTAATTTAATGGTATTGGAATCAAGTAATTAAAATGTCCTCATTTCCATTCTAAGAAAAAGAAAGCTGATGTTCCTACAAATTTTTTATCAATATATTAGAGTTAGTATAAAATATTATATTACACATTGTCAATTTTTTGCTCTTAGTATTCTCAAATTTTTTTCTGTATGTAAAAATTTTTTAATAAATAAATACTATATAATGTCAAGTTTGATGGCTTAATTTTTTTTCTTTTCAAAATAATATTATTTTAAATTGTAAAAGAGTATTTTTAGTCTTTTAACAACATTCAAAAACTCATAATAAGACGTTTTGGCCTAATTCAAATTTGTTAAAAATGCAAGGCTTAATTTAAATTTTGACATTTAAAGCCGAATTTAATTAGGATTCTCCCTTAATATAATAATAGATCAATCGAAGCAAATTTGATTGAAAAGAGTATGCCATTTGATTTAGTATTAAGAAAACAATTAGTCTCGACTATTGGTAAATAATAATCTGAGTATCTCACAAAAAAGAATAATAAACAGATTTTTTTAAAAAAATAAATTCAGCATTGTTCAATTTAAAAGGTTTTTTTTTTCCTATGCACGTGTCTCCCTATAATGAAAACAATTGTATTCGAGTTACTCTCAAACACTAGATATGGCACATTTTTTTAGCAGAAATTTGAATTTTTATTTGTCATGTTATTAGAGATTAACCCTTCTTACTAAACTCAACCCCCTAGTTTAAAATGTTATTTTGTATAACTGGAAATAAAAAAAATTGTGATTTAATCTTTAATACTTGTATAATTACCCAGACCTTGAAAATAATTAAATATTTGAGCAGCACATGGAAGCCGCACTCTTCATTTTGAAGTTAGATGACACTTCCAACTCCACAGTTCGGAGCAGCTTTTTCGCTTCCGTTACATTCTTCTCTACGTTTTATTTTTTAATTAGTTCCGAAAATTATTAGTCTCTTCAAAGAAAAATTGCAGTATCTCAAAAAGTAAGGATAGAAAAATCTTTAAGAAGATACTCCTCCTGTCCTTAATATAGGACCCAATTCTTGAGTTGGTTTTGGTCCTAAATATAAGACCCATTTCTCATATTTATTAATTTTCTCTAAATTACCCCTATGAATACTCCATCAACCATAATCAAGTAGAAGAGGGAGAATGAGGTATTAAGAAAGATGATTATGGTGTTTTAGGAAAAATGTGTCACTTTTTTTTATGATTAACTAATTTACCTAACTTCCTTAATCTAATCAAATTAGTTAAATGAGTCTTATATTAAGGACCGGAGGAGTACTTTCTTATCTTTTTTTTAGGTACAATTATGATTATCCTCTTATTATTAGAAGCAATTCTGAAGCACTGTTAGGCACTAAATATGGATATCTTTTCCAACGGAGATTTGATTTTTATAAGATATAAGGATTAAGTTGCAATTTTGCTACCAAAGTTTTCACTCAAAAATACTAGATATCTAAAATTTTTTTATATACAAATTTGTTTCAAAAATTTTGAAATACATTGCAAGTATGCTTGTTATCATTAAAAATATTACCCGTCATTATTACAATTTTAGTTTTTGTAATATTAGGAAGCAAAATTGTTACGATTTTAAATTTTCACAGCAATTTTGCTTCTAAAAACTTATAAGTGCCATGCACTTCTAAGTGAAAGCTTCAGGAACAAATTCAACCTTAATCATATGTTAAAAAATTAATTAAAATTAGTTAAAAACAGTAAATATATATGTAAAAAAATAACTTATTTTTTTTAAAGAAAATCTTATTTATAAAGATAAAGTAAGTGAGTATGAATAATTAATAAGAATAATCAGTAATTAATAAAAATAAAAATAATACCAAATGTTTTAAACAAATTACTAGTGGATCGTATAAATAACGACACGTCACATCCCTTCAAATTAAAAATTCACTTACATATATACAGAACCAGAGGTGGCCAAAAAATAAATATAGAACCAAAGGGAGTACAAATCAGGTTAACCAACCTGAGTTAACACTAAACCTAAAGTCATCGTTAAATCCGTATATTTTATATTCGTTTATGTCCTAATTAATGTTCGTAGAACGATATTTCTATATTTTATATTTTTTAAATTGAATTTTTTCCTGTGATTACCTGTGGACGTAGCATATAAATAACCCCACAAACCGCTCTAACTTCCCCATCACCACCTTCTTCTCCACTAACACACACCTTCTTCCTTCTCTCTCTCTCTATCTCAAATTTCAGAAAATGACGATCTCATTTTGCCATTCTCTTCTTCTTCAATCAATTCTCATAGTCCTCTTCATCCTCTCGTCTTCTTCCTTCAACTCTGCCGCCTCTGAAGTCGGCAACTACAATGTGCTCAGTTTCGGAGCCAAGCCCGACGGCAAAACCGATTGCACCAAGGCGTTCCTCAGTGCATGGCAGAAAGCTTGCGACTCGGCCGAATTGGCCACCATTTACGTGCCGGCCGGGAGGTTTTTGCTCGGAAAAAGTGTCTTCAGCGGCGAATGTAATAATAAGGTTATCTCTATAACTATCGACGGCACCTTGGTGGCTCCGTCCCACTACCATGTCACAGGAAATGACGACAACTGGATCGTGTTTGATAATGTTGATGGAGTTTCAGTTCGCGGCGGCTTGCTTGATGGCCAAGGCACTGCTTTGTGGGCTTGCAAGAACTCCGGCGGAAATTGCCCTTCCGGAGCCACGGTATGGTTATAGAAAACTTTGAATCTTTTAGGTTTATTTTTATTCTTATTAATTTTATTAATTAAATATATTGATTTCAATTCAATTAATTAAATGACAGCACTCTCTCTTAGAAGTGGAAATCCAGATTTCTCTAAATTACAGATATATATGACGAATTGCCCATTAGTTGACTTTGCTTTTACTACATTTGACATAAAAAGCTAATAGCATGTGCTTAAAACTAATCCAGATTTTGACAGATTAATTAAATTAATTGTAAAATTTTGAAAATAATTTTGGGTGGGAACTCACTGACAGTGAATTAGGACATGCACATATTTGGCCCTTAATTATCGGTGCTAATGATATGGGATACAATATCAAATTTTGGATCCAAAAATATTAAATTATAATTTCTAATATATAAAATTAAAAAAATGTTACTATATATTTTTTGCCACCAAAAAAAATGTTACCATATGAAGTATAGCAGTAAAATTTGCAGCTGCTAGAAGTGATATTAGTGTGGTGTGGTTATAATATATAGATTCTCTCTAATCATCAATTAATTTTCTTAAGAGTTGGCAAAACAAAAAAACAAAAAAATTCTCGAGAAAGTTGAATCGGGTAAGTTGGTTTTCTGGGAAACTGGAAACTGTTGCGCCGGGGCTCAAGGAGCCCACGTAGACTTTGGCAGAATTTATTTCATTTCCAAGACATATGGTCAATTATTAATTTATGAAGAACACATATCGCGGGATTTCTTTTAAGACTAAAACAAGAATCTCAATGGTCAAACCTTAATAATAATATTAATTGTAGGAGTCGCATGCAATATATATAATAATAATAATAATTCACAACTTGCTTTGTCGGTTAATTAATTCGGACATCCGTTTTTGTTCTTTCACATTCCACTAATTAAGTATTCTTCATTTATCGTGAATAAAAATAATAATATATTTATTCAATTGCTTCTTTCTTTGAAAAAAAAAGGTTCTTTCGAAATGTTATGTAACCTAAATTATAGTAAAATTTAATAAGATTATACTAAAATACCATTATGACTTGAATACCTCTCTTTCTCTTAATTCAATACACTATTGGAGCAGATCGACATATTAATTAAGGCTGAAAAAGTTAAAACCAATAATTATCTATATTTTCTCAAGATTCTGTGATGGTAAATATTTTGAAAAATCACAAAATTCTAAAGCGATTAATTTTTTTTTGCCTTTTTTTTGCTTTTTCATGTTTAATTCTTTTTTTATACTATACTTGTTTTAATCTTTGCTATGTTTGTATGTAGAGCTTAAAATTTACCAACTCTAGGAATATCATGGTCATCGGTTTGACCTCACTCAATAGCCAAATGTTTCACATAGTCATCCATCAATGCCAACACGTCAAAATGCAAGGTGTGAAGGTGACTGCCCCTGAAGACAGCCCTAACACTGATGGCATTCACATAGGAGGGTCAGACGATGTCACCATACTCAACTCCAACATTCGAACCGGTGATGATTGCATATCGATCGGCCCTGGCACCACTAACTTATGGGTTGAAAACATTGCATGCGGCCCTGGCCATGGAATAAGGTATTTTCAATTTCATCACCAGAAAAATATGAAATCTTAATAAAAAGATCTTTTAATTCATTTTTTTCAAAGAAATTCATAAATATTAAATCTTAAAAAAGGCTGAAAGCTATTGTGAAAAGCTCTAATAAAATCAAGCACATTTACCAAGAGAAAAATAGGAGGAGATGGTCACCATGAGTTTTTTTTTTTGGGGAAAAAATTCAGTAAAAATAATAAAATTTTATCATTTGCTTTTTTTTATAAATTTCAATTTCAATTATGACTTTCCACCCATGCATTAATAATTTGATAATGATGATGATGATAATTGAGGGCATTAATTAATTGTTTATTTATTTAATTGGCAGCATTGGAAGTTTAGGGAAGGACGAGAATGAAGATGGCGTGCAAAATGTAACGGTGAAAACGGTTAAATTTGCGGGTACTCAAAACGGCGTGAGAATAAAGACGTGGGGAAAGCCAAGCTCAGCTTTTGTGAGAAACGTCATTTTTCAACATGCCGTTATGGTTGACGTGAAAAACCCCATTGTCATTGACCAACATTACTGCCCAGATGACCACGGCTGCCCTCATCAGGTGAGCTTTTGGGCCCTTTGATCATAATGCTTTTCAAATTAGGCCCATCTATTTCTGCACCGTGAATATTTCTTTTATTATGATAATTGCTAGAGAGTTCCAAATAAGAGGAATATTATTACTAAAAAATTTTAATGAAAATTTTAGTACAAAATATTTTATCTTTTTTGTAGGCATAGGTATCTTCTTATTGAAAGTGATTCTATTCGAAGCACTGTCAGGAGTTAAAATATTTTATCGTTTATTATTAAAAAAATATTGTTAATGGGAGTATTCAGTTTAATATAACAAATACTCACATTTGTATTTTTTAAAAATATTACAGAATTTTTTGCGTCCTCTTTTTTTTTTAAAATCTAGTGCCATTATGCATGTTGAACTTCTCGCACACAAGCTATCTAACAAAGATGACACTAATATTTTTCTTACAGAAAAAGAAACAAACCCTTTAGTATTTTTGTTTACACAAGACTTGGTACTTAAAAGTTATATGGTTAATATGCTTTTAATTATGGCATTAATTTGGTCATATGAAACAAATGAAAGCAGGCATCTGGGGTGAAAATAAGTGATGTGACATACCAAGACATTCATGGAACATCAGCCACAGAAGTTGCTGTGAAGTTTGATTGTAGTTCCAAGAATCCATGCAGCGGAATTAGATTGGAGGATGTGAAGCTCACTTACAACAATCAAATCGCTCAAGCTTCATGTCAGAATGCTGGAGGCACCTCACAGGGTTCAGTTCAACCAGAAAGTTGCTTATAATATTAATTCAAACCCTATCCATCTATATTTGCTATCAAATGCTCGATGCTGAGAGAAAAGGAAAAAAAAGATCTGAGTTATTAAGTGTATTTGTTGCAACCGATAGATCCATGAAGAATTTTCTATGGTGTAGTTGATTGATGGAGGAAGAAGAGATATAGCTATTAGCTAGCTAGGAAGTTTATTGCTGGAGTCTGTGGCGTTTATGTTGTAGCTCATATGGGGCTATGGTGGAGCCTGGCCTTGCAAAATTGGTGATGAAATTTCACTCTATTAAAAAAAATAATAATATATCTTACAAAAATCTTTAGGCACTCATTATCTTCTTTTGATTTTCTTTCATCCCATAGGCTACGAGGAGTCTAACTTCCCTCAAAACAATTTGACATTTCACCGGCCTAAACTCATCAGAAATAAATTGACATGTTGACGAGTTTGCCCACCAACTTGCCTCTTTTTTTTTTGTAAAAAAAAATTACCTCTTTTTTATTTTTGATCCAACCAACAACACAATTCAGATTTCTAAAAAAAAAAAGATATTAAATCTTGAAATTGCAAACAAATTGATTAGCTTGGGAAAATTATTCACAAGTTTTGAATAAGATTAAGTCCTAAAATCACAAAGTTGACTTGGACAGATGCTTGAGGAAATTGCTCGGCCATTATTCAGATGATGGGCTTAGGTATGGTGATGAGGCTAACTAGCTATAATCCACACCATAATCCAATAAACAAAAAACTGAATTGGACACTAAATTAGTTGAGATAGTGATTTAAGGATTAGTTTATCAGATTGGGGTCAAAACCTGTTAGATTTAAGGTTTTGATGATAGCAAAATGAGCATTTAAGTTTGTCTGCATAAACTGATATTTTCATCGATCAAGTGTTCGATCACTAGTTAATTGAACATGTGTCAAATAATTGTCAATGCATGATGTGTCCATCTATTGTTAAGTTTTATTGTCACGTGTTAGATAATTCACTGTGCTAGAAACCTTGCTAGATAAATAAGTTAATCGATCATCTATTCGATCATTGGTAGAACTGGTTGAATATAAGGTCTTTTAGGAAATTATCGATCACCTGATGGATAATTGAATGATCGATAAGCTGTCAAGAAAAAAGATTTAACTTCCTCACTAATAACATAAGGATAATCGATCACCTTATCGATCAAGGGGTAATCAATAATGACTCAGATAATCAGTAAGTTTCTTTGACTCACATGCTGTATCGATGACTTGCTCTAACATTGTTTTACAAAACTTCTCTTATTAATCCATAATCTATTCAATCAAGCTCCTCTCTGATTTATTCTAATTCTAGCTTTTCACTGACAATGATTGATCACGTAATCGATTATTTTTTCATTGATCATCAACATGTTCTTCTGCAATATTTGTCCAAGTCATTTAGAATTGTTTTCGGATCACCTGTTCGATCACGCCTTGATCGATCAAGTTTCATATCATTGTGTTTAAAAATGCTTTTCCACGATAACTTAGATTGTCGATGAGCTGTTTGATCAAGTGATTATCAATCATCTATTCGATTAATGTACCCATTCATCTCTTCAAAAATTCTTCACAATGTTCTTTCAAAAAGTATATTTTTTTTTCATTTATCTTTAAGTTTTTTTTAACTTTCAATAGTCAAATTATTCTTTTTTGATAAGCAACAAAGACATACAACTTTAAAAGTATAAGCCTTGCATAGAAATCAGAAGTATTTTCTTGATTACTTTGTTTATGTTTCATCATTTGTCGATCACATGTCTTATAAATGGCTGATCCATAATAAATTCGATAAATGAGTGTATCTGTTAAGTCTATTTTCTTTCTATTGATTGATGACCTTATCGATCAAGAGATCAATCATATTGATTCTGTTGATTCTTTGAATATTGATCATTTAATCTTATGATTGTCATATCCTATATTATTTCCCATAATCAATACTTGTTCTATTATTTATTCATATCCATTGAAGAAGAAAAATTATACTTGTGTAAAGAAACCTCTGCAGATTATGAAGCGCAACGATTATCTTATAGGTTTACCCTACTATGTCAGAAGTATTTATTACGAATAACTGTTATAACTGCGGAAGATATGCAAGTGATCTTCCAACGGCTACAAGGTCTTATGTCTAATGGAAAACTGAAAGTCTCCAACTATAAATGGCACAAAGAGTATTGAATGAGTATTGAATACACCAAGTTACCATTATAAAAATTAACTCTCGCATTCAATACTCTTTTTTTGTTCTAAGCATCAATGCTCATTATATGTACTTTGTGAGAGAGTTTGTAATTCCCTTTACTCAATTCTATGAGTCACTCAAGAGTGTGGACTCTTGAAGGGTTGTAACCTTGCGGGTAGTGAGGGGGAGTAATTGAGATTGACTCAGTTATTGTACTGAGACACCAAGAATCCCTTTAATCTTGGGGATTTAGTGAAAATCTCATAGGCATTTTGAGGACTGAACGTAAGTCAATGGTTGAAACCGAATCAGTATAAACTCTTGTATGATTCTTCTTCGGTGAAATCTTTGTTAACCCATTTCCACTGTTTTATTTGATCATTTATTTATTAAGTTAAATTTTTATATATCACTCAATTCATCCTCCTCTTGAGTGAAACTACCATTAACAAGATCGGTCATATTAAAATAATATAATTTAATTAAAAATAACAGAATACAACAACATTAACAATCACTAATAACAAAATACAAGATAATATAATATTAGTTTGATTGTAACAATAACAAAGTATAACGATATTGGGAATTTTGATATTTATTATTCATCAATAACTAAAATTTATAATCATTGATACCAAAATTATCATTAAAATTCATTCAAATATATAGTGAATGAGATATTAGGAGTTGAATAAAAAAATATAACCGATAGTAATATAATCTTTCAAATTGGTGCATCATTGGTTTTTACCAATGTTACCGGTTTGATATTGATTCAATACCTAAACCAAACCACTGATTTTTTGGTTGAACTGTGAATTGGTCAGTTCGGTTTGATTTTTGGTTTATTGCCATAACCATAGGTATAAAAGTCATTTTCAGTTCGTCACATACATTGATGCACTAGGATCTCAACAGAGGAAAAGACAAGGGACCGTGAGATAGTTATAACTTTGATCCATATTCTTGTATATTATTTTTGGTATTTAATATAAAAACTAGTGTGATATTCAATTTAGTTCTGAATATAAGATCTCAATATATTTTATCATGTCTTTATCTATTTTTCTCAAGATAGTATTTGTAATAGGTGCAGATATTTTATCAATTATAGTTTTAACTAATACACATTATTAATAAAAGTATTTTAAGAAAGACAATACATATTTATCACAAATAACCAACTTTATTAATTTTTTTAAGTTATCCAAATTAGTCAACTAACTTTTAAATTAAGAATTGAAAATAATAATCATTTAATCTTTAATATAAGACCTATTTAACTAATTTGATTAAATTAAGAAAGTTAGTTAATTATAAAAAATATGACATGTTTTTTTCTAAAATACCATAATTATCTTTCTTAATATCTTCCTTCATTTTTCTACTTGATTATGGTTGATAGAATATTCATAGGGGTAATTTAGAAAAAAATGATAAATATGAGAAATAGATCTTATATTTAGGACCAAAACCAATTCAATAATTAAGTCTTATATTTGGGATCAGAGGAGTATTATAGTTTAGTATAATTATCTTATAATAATACAGCTTAGAAAAATATAGAAACAAAGAAATTTTTTTCCCTATAAAAACATAAATTGACCAACAAGCTATTGGTTTGAGATGCTAAGCAGTTTCACTTTGTAAGGAGAAGAACACAAGTTCAAATTTCGAGAAACGTATTTGTTAGAATGGTTTTAATCTTAATATTCTTGACTCGGTAAAGATTAGTATCAAGCCTAAAATAACTTGAAGATACTCTGAATTATTAAAAAGAAAAAAGAAACAGAGAAATTATTATAATCTTCTAATTGCAACATTTACAATAACTATCATGTCATTAGTAGAATAAATAATCAATAATATTCCCTAAAATCCCAATTACTATAAGCCTCACATTTGAAAATAGATGTGATCTATTTTATAAGTTTTAATTTGAGCTTGTCTTAATATTTAATGTACTACCTCCAGTTCTTAATATAAAACCCTGTTTAACTTTTATTTTGGTCCTAAATATAAGACTCCAATCCACTTTGTCTCTCATATTTATGTATTTTTTTTTTCCAAAATAGCCCTTCTACCAATGATAGTTCTAGTCAATACAATTGATTAGCAAGAATATTTTAGGAAAGACAACACCTATTTAGGACAAATAACTAACTAAACTTACTTCCTTAATCTCCTTAAATTAGTCAACTGGCTCTTATAATTAGAACTAGAGGTAGTATATTTTTTAATGTTGCATTTAATTATTTTTTTATCACATTTTTTTCGTTTTTTATCCATTTTGTCATTTATTATAAAGACATATTTAAAAATAATAGTATATTTCTGATTTACTTATTGTTTTTAACTTATTTTCATTAATTGTTTATTAGGGAAAAAGACACAAAAATGCTATCTTAACTTCATAATGACCAGAACATCCGCTAAATTTGCAAAATACCATTTTGGTCACATGAGACCAAATTGGCATTATTATATCAAATGAAAGACCAAATTGCCCTTCCTTTTAAATATTGTTTTTAAAGTATCACAGCCCCACTGGCCGGCTGGTCGCCGGAGGTTCGACAACGACAATCACTGGAACTCTGGTGACCGGCAGACAATTGGTCACCGGAGCTTCGTCGGTCGGAAAATTTTTTTTTGAAAGTTTTTACAACTTCAGTATAATGATTAACAACTTTTGTGACGCTATTAACAATTTCAGTATAACAGTTAACAACAGATTTTCTGAAAAATTCAACAAGTTCCGGCGGTCGGAATTTTTTTGAAAATTTTTACAACTTCAGTATAACAG